GAATTCACGTCGATTATGAACCGATTCCGATGGTGAACAACCCGAAGATCCTCGGAGTAATCTTCGACAGTCTGCTCTCCTTCTCGGCGTATACAACCGCAATTGTCAACAAAGTACAAAGCTGCAACTAGGTTCTCAAGTCGCTAGCCGCCAGCACCTGGCGCGAAGACCAAAAAACGTTGCTGCCAACGTACAAGGCAATTCGCCGGCCAGTTCTGAACTATGCAGACTTGCCAAACACAGCACTCGCGACAGCCACAGGATGCCTTGTGATGTCGCCGTAACATCACCTGCACGACGAGGCCCATATGCTCCCCGTTAAGGAGCATAACACGATGCTCTGCAAGCAGTTTCTAGTTGGGAGCCACAGACGTGGTCACCGAAACAGATAATTGCTTGTAGAAGAGTCAGGAAGCATCTCTACGAACTGACGGACGAAGTCCAGAGGTTCATCAAACAACCTCTGGATCCGACATCTTATCGACAGGCCTTGAACGACTTTCACAGAGAGGCAGTCTGGAGTTATGTGGACTCTCGACCTGTGAATGCCGTTCTGGGCACGCAACCACCATACATGGAGGAGACAGAGCTCAGACCACAATAGCCCAACTGCGCTCTGGTTACTGCAGCAGGTTGAACTCATACCTGAGCAGAATAAACGACGATGTTCTAAACGAATGCCCGGCATGCGGATAGATGACCCATTGCTCACAGCATCTCTTCGCATGCCCACTGAATCCCACCGTACTGACGCCCCTGTCCCTATGGACAGACCCCGTCGAGGCTGCACGCCTGTCCTGGGGCTACCGCTTGACGACAACGACAACAAAGCAGGTCTTCTAACTCACGGTATTGAAAAGGCATTGCAGTATAAACAAATAGCCTTGTGTACATTCCTGGACATATCGGATGCTTTTGACAATACGGTGACAGGTAATAAGGTCAATGGAAATAAGGTCAATTGACTTTATTTCCCACCCTGGTGCGAAATAAAGTCAATTGACATTATTACCTTTTCAAAAGCGAAATAAAGTCAACAAAAATTTGGAAATAAAGTCATTGACGCTATTTCCTCATTCAAATGGAAATAGCGGCAACAATGCTTAAAGTATGTCGATTCATAGAAAAAAATGTTGTTCTTACAATAAACATTGCCCCGTAAGTGTTGTTTTTTAATAGATGAAAAAGGCTTTTGCCAAATCCTCAGTGTTGTGATATTAATCCACACACAATCATGAACTACCTCCAATTGATTCTATTAAAAAAAGAATTTAAATTACGAATATGTAAAAACACTATGCGAAAAACTAAACGCCTGCGCACAGCTGGAATACGAGAAATATTTGAAGAAAGAGTGGAGAAATGATCCATAACTTGCAAAACATTTTTCGTTTCTACAAAAATAAAGCGAACACTATTAAATTGAAGAAACAGTACATGTCCAAAAACCCCGGAGGAGCACTGAAAGAATTCTGTGTTTTAAATTAGCATATTTTGAACGAATTCGGAATGTCTAAGGTGGAAAAGAACCCAACCTTTCTATAAGGAAACAATTACAGAAAAAGAATTTTCTTACACTCTATTTATGTCTCCGCCAGCAGTCATTTAAAAGCAGCTAAGGAGAACGACGACACTATTTATTAGATGGCACATTCAACGAGCCAATGTGCCAAAATGCGGGTATAAACAATTATTGATTATTTAATATCGGAACCGAGATCATATAAGTTCATTGATTGGTTTTCACACACTTTTGAAACACAAATTATATGCTTTTTTACTGCAGACAAGTTGTTGCCTCAAAACACAGCAGAAATCTTCCAATCAGGGCTGCCAACTCTCCTTAGTTATGAGGTGCCATATTGAGGATAAAAAAAGTGCCCAAATGTGCCAAATAGAAAAATAAAAGTGCCAAAAAGGGTGTAATTCCTTTTAATCATTCACATTTAGCAATCAAATAAAGCCACATTTTCAAAACAAAAGTGCAATGATAAAATAAGATAAACCAGTTGAACAGCCTTTATAAATTAGAAAATTTTAGTTGAGAAAAAGAAGTGCACGCAAAGGACTTCACAAAAATGTATTGAAATGTTATTTTTTTACAAAAGTGCCATTTTGGCATTTAGTGCCAAATTGAAAAATTAAGTGCCATTTGAAGTAAAATAGGAACAAATGGCACGGTTTGAGCCTAGTTGGCATCCCTGCTTCCAATAACTTACAAATATAAAAATGTGAAATATCGAGGGCTTGAATTCATTAATACCCTCTATCTGCAATTTGCCCAAAAACTTATTTGTGATTTAAGAAACCATCTGGGACTTATTACCTGTCGTTATATAAGGTAGCATTAATATCACTGATGACAGTTAAAGCTTAGGTGGATTTTTATATCAGAATCTCATCTTTGTGAAAAGTGTGCAGATAGGGGGTATTATTGAATATAAGCCCTCGATGTTTAAAATATATAAACATTTTATTTCAACGTATACAAAAAATAAATCTACCTGCGTCACAGCACGTCGGGAGACGGGGAAAGGGGGGCCGGGGGGGGCCGCGGCGTAGCGTGACGTGGTGTGCGCGCCGGTCGCGCGGGGTACGCGGGCGCGAGCGCGAGCGCAACGCGCGCGGTGTGGCGCGCTGACGCGGCCGCCGCGAAGCTAAGCAAATTTAATGTTTTAAAGAGAAATAATGTCAATTGATTTTATTTCGTTTTTAAAAAGGTAATAATGTCAATTGACTTTATTTCGCACCAGGGTGGGAAATAAAGTCAATTGACCTTATTTCCGTTGATCTTATTACCTGTCACCGACAATACGGCTTACGAAGCAATTTCGGCAGTTATGATAAGGAAGGATATTCCTAGCCTTCTTACTGGTTGGCCTATTGAAATCCAGAATTATAATATCCGGACTAGGAAACAGTGAGAAATTAGTAACTGTCACTCGTGGCTGTGCTCAAGGGGGAGTCTTATCGCTCCTACCATGGACACTGGTTGTTGACGAACTCCAGGAAAAGCTATAAGGCAATAGCAGTTTAACGCAAATGGTTCTGCAGATGACCAAGTCATCTACGTTGTTGGTTGGCATGAGCAAACTATTTGCTCCAGATTGCAAGCTGTGCTAAAATCCACTGAGGACCACCATGTGCTAAAAAGGGTTTGTCAATCAACGTTCTGAAGTCCACCATTGTCGCATTTACCAAAAGAAGGACAGCCAACTTGACTAGACCTACCTTGGCAGGAACAGAAATTAAGTTCTCAGAAGAGGCGAAGTATCCCGCGGTAACTATGGAGAAAAGGCTCAATTGGAACTCACATCTCTCGAATGTTACCAAACAAAGTAGTTTTTGGTTTTTCCAAGTTAACTATTTGAACAGAAAAAGTGTTTTTAAACAAATTTAAACAAAAGTTTGATTGATCCATCACAGAGTGGGGTTGTGTACAAATTTTTATTGAGAATAAGTTGCACTAAATAAAAAAAAATTTCAAAACACCAGCACTCTGCAATATCCATAAAATTTTCCTTAAGTAAAAACAACCTTTGATTCACATGTTTTAGTTAACAATTTGTTTATTTGAATTATATGGTTTTTTTGTCTGTTTGTTTTTATTTTTTTACTTGTTATCATTCACGACTTCCATATTTTTTTCGTAATAGTTTTTGTTGATAAATATAATATCATACTCATTTATATATAGATTTATTTATACATAATTACTTACACATTAAGCTAACACTAATTTCTTTATACATTTTACAATAGTTTTATTTTTATAATAAATTTTTTCCATACTTCCTCATAGTGCTTCCTTGTGTTTTTTTTCACTAGTTTTTTTTTATACTCATATTTTTTATGTTAATATCAGTTTGTTGTTTTAATTTTATATTTTACTTTAAATTTTTTATATTTAATATTACATATGTTTCACTATTAGCAATAAATTATACAAGCTTACAACTACATATGCAGATAAGTAAACAACTGAAGTGAAAGTAAGGTAAGGTAAATAGTAAAAAGGTGTGCAAAGATAAGCATAAATATGACATACATACATACAAACATTCACATCGAAATTTATTTAAACTAAATAAGCACAGTTTTATTCTTAGTTTTGGTGCGTTGTTTGACAACAGATTTTGAATCAAATAAAAACGAAAAAAAAAAAAAATGTAAAAAACGCTAACAAATAATAGGCAAATATTTGGGCAAAGTTTGAGGAGCGAAGCATAAATGCTTGTTTTTGTTTTTGTGCTGCATTTTAACAAAAATGATTTATTACACATTCAAAGTAGTTTCTTGTTTTGATTTCATTTGACATTCTTACTAATTTTAAAATTTTGTTTATGGTTTTTGATGTAAATTTTCTTTTAAGTGCCACAAATGTTTGCTGCGGGATTATCGAGATTTTTTTTTTGTATACACAAAATACAAATAGGCTTAGCTTAGATGCTTGTGTGTGGGGTGTTTGTTTTAAATCCTTTTTTGTTGGTTTTGTTTGTTTTTGTTTTTCTGTTTGGAGCGGTATTTACTTGGTTGCAGTTTTTTGCTTAAAATAAAAATCTGTTTTTGGCCATCTTTCGGCTGGCTGCCTTGACTCACTGCACTGCTCATTTCCACATGATTAAGCAGTTTTTCTATGCAATACAAGTTAGCTGTGTAATGCGCTAAGCAGTGAAGAGGAGCAGCGATTGGCCGCCATTTTGTTGTGTTGGAACGCCCGCTGCTGCAGCCTACATCATCACCATTGTTCCAGGAGTTCCAACTGCTCCGGCGGCAGCACTTCTTGTTTCAATTGCAATTGTTGTTCTTGTTGTTGCTGTTGCTGTGGCTGTGTCTGTTGATCGGTCGACAGCAAGATTGCTGCCATAGCCTCTGCTTGCGCGGATGATGCAGATGAAGGCAGCGGTGGCGGCGGCGGCGGCGGCAGCAGCGATGTTGGCGGCTGTAATTGCATTTGCAATTGATGCTGTTGTTGTTGTTGTTGTTGTTGTTGTTGTTGGTGATGTTGCTGTTGCTGTTGCTGGTGTTGGTGCTGCATTTGCTGTTGTGCGCTCAACGTTTTCAGCAGCAGCAGCCGATTGGCCAATTGTTTTGTATATTACCAAACCAGTCCCTCATTTTGCATATTCGAGGGCTCACTGAAATTCGCCGCTGTCAGATATTCTGGTGATGCTGAGCGCGGGCCATTCGGTTGTTGTGCTTGTTGTTGTTGTTGCTGCTGCTGCTGCTGCTGTGCTTGTTGTTGCGCTGCAAGTAGATGTTCAGGCGGTGGCGGTGGTCCCCCAGCAGATTGTATACTCATCGGTGGACCACCAGCTTGACTGAGAAATTGCGATTCGGGCGTAAGACCAAATTCATTCACCATCGGTATGGGGCCGCTGTGATCCATGGGACCGCCTGAAAGATAGCAGAGAGAGCAAAGAGAGTGGTGGTTAGTAAAAGGGATTGAGATGCGAAAAATGATTTTATGCAAGGTTGTTAAAAAGATTTCTTTATGACCAGGCATTGAACTCGGTGGGTTGAAAAACTTTCCCCTCCAATTTACGTATGAAGTGTCCCTATTCTCTAATACATACATACATGTGTTACGAAACGTGACTTGTTTATGATTTTGAGCTTGTTTTAGCGCACACTTGAGGCTATCAATTTAGCGCTAAGGCTCCAAATTAGAAAAATAGCTAGTCTTCTAGCGGAAAGCATATCCGTTAAATGGCTATATTCCAGACAAAGTTCCGTACTTGGGTGGTAAACCGATAGTAAAGGCCTCATGAGTATTATAGAGAAAATATATGCAGTTTATTTCAACTTAAATGCATGAAGCAGATTTTGGCGGAAACTCTGCCTCAACAATTTCAACTAATTTTTACACAAGTCCATTGAGAATTGCAGATATACATATTGACCAAATGAAATACTTAAGTAGAAACCAAAAAGTTGCTCTACGACTTATTTACTGTGACTCGTTTCTCCCGCTGTGAAAAAGTTATCCCTGTATAGGTGAATGAATAAATAAATTTGAAAGGGCCAAACTTTATTTTCTTACCGAATTCCCGCCGTTTAAAGATAATCCAGTTTCGGCGTTGTGCCACTTTCAATAACATTTTTCAATGTCAATTTTACTTTGGGCCTATGAATGGAGAGGTGAGAACTACACTTCAAGCGGCCTAACCAATTGCTGAATGAATATGAGAAAACAGTCGCTGGATGAACCAATTAAGCTAACGCAAATTTGCGTCTTCTTTTTTAGCGAAAGCCGGCAGAAAAACAAAACAAAAAAAAAACAGTCTTCTGTTGGTCCCATGCATTGTGCCTCAAGAGCAATCCAGCCTCCGTGAGACCTTCCGCTACAAGCCTGTTCGGATCTTTCAAGAAGTATTTTGTTGTTTTGCAAATATCAAGGCTTGTACTTTTGTAGAAGACGTATTTTATCCACGCCGTAGATTCAAAGTTCGACACATACATATGTAAGTTTAAACTCGTTCCTCTCTGCGACAGAATTCAGCCCAAATTTAAATTTTTGCAAATTTTGTTTGAGGAGGATGAAGTGCTTTCCACGGTCTGTGATCTCTGATCTCTAAATTACACATTTCTTGATTGAAAAATCTCCGGCCAAAATACCCAATGTGCAGCATAATCTGAAGCAGCCATCCAGCATCAGGTCCTTTTTTCAGCCCAGTAGCCTTGGGTGAATAAATCTTTTGGCCAGATATCCTAAGTAAGATTGTAGCTCCTTTAATTTTTCTCTAGAAATCAGAGTGGTGCTTTATTTTCTCTCAATGGAGCATTTTTTCTTTAGGGCCAGTGGTAATGAATACTGCTCTGAAATCTGTGCAAATTCTCATGTCATATCTTGTTCATGGTTCCCGCTTCAATATATCGATACAGGAGAAAGGAGCGCAAAAGACCATTGAGAGAGATTGTACCCATGGCATCATATGCTTTTCACTGAAGCAAATAGCACCGCAGAACTTGTAATTTGTTCGCAAAAAGACCATTATGACTAAAGTTTTACTCTAGGCCTCCATTTGCGTGGTAACACTTAGGTCCAACTAATGGTCTATGTAAGATCGGTCGCATTAGCCTAGCTAACCTAACCTTATCTTATTTTTGTTTCCACATAAGCCTTCTATGCCTGTGTCGAGAAGTACATACTCCTAGATAAACATTTTACTTCCGCTTAAACAAGCTTGACTTTACGTATCTAAGCTCTAACAGTTTGAGACCGTAAACTCTACCAAGGTCGTCCTGTGATATTCTTCTTTTCCTCTTCTTGATTGGCACTAAATGATTCTTGCCGAGTCCAACAAAGCACGCCAGCCGTATCTCCTCTGTGCCAACTGACGTCAGTTGGAAATACCAAGTGAAGACAAAATCCTTCTCCATCTAAGCTTTCCATCGCAGAGGAGGCTTTTCCCTTCCTGGGTATTTAGCATCGCGACCTGCGTCGTATTTTTTTCAGAGCGGAAGCATTTCTATATATATAAAGTTGTCATACGGCTCATCGATCCATCGTCTGCGGCATACGCCATCGCCAAACCGTAAAGTTTTTTTTTATTTTCCATGCTTCTGTGTCATACACCAGCACGGATAAGTTGAGTGACTTATATCGTGTGATTTTCGTAGGAGAGGACTTTACTTCTCGATTGCCTACCCAGTCCAAAGTATCTAGCACTTATTGGCATGAGTGATTCAGCGTTGGATTTCAACGTTGAAATTGATAATACTGATTCCTAAATAAACAAAGCCATCTACTTCTTCAAAATTATTGCTGTCAACAGCTCTGACTCTTTGTCTGGCATTAGGAGATACTTCGTTTCATCCTCGTTCACCATCAAACCCATTCGATTTGTTTTCCTATATAATACCAAGAAGGCAGAACGATGATATAGATGATCGGTTCCGTTCTTCATCAACATCAGATTTAAGAAATCACACAAAACCTCGGTTATTATCAAACGGCCCAGAAAGGTCCTTCTGACGAAGACGGTTGTTTTGATCAACGTAATTTTACAGAGTGATGGCTCATAGCTTTGCGGGTATACCAAATTCAGACATCGTGGTATAGAAAGCGTCTTTGAAACCGGCGTATAGTGAATACTTGGTTCTACGGTATATTTGCTAGGTATAAAGCCACACTGATAAGGCCCAATTAGTTCGTGGGCGGTGTGCTTCAGTCTTTCACACAAAACTGCCGATAGGACCCCATATCTGATGCTTAGAGGACTAATTCCGCGGTAGTCTTATCCTGGATTGCCTGAGCTCAAATAGCCATAAAATATTTTCCTGACACCCACACACACACACACATCACCCAAATAAGCTAGGCGTGATTGAAATTTTGCATCTCCGTTCAAAGCAAGTTAACTACCAGACATTGTAGAAGTGGCTATCATACAAATATTCGTGCCTTACATTTCGTAATGCGTTACACAACCTACCTGGTGTATTAAATGGCATCGGTCCGCCCGGATGTCCTGGAAAGAATGGTCCGTCGTGCGGATGAAACGGCGGTCCACCGTAACCAAATTCAAATTTGCCATCAGCCGCGAAATAAGGGAAACCAGGACCATCGTCGAGACCACCAGGTGAGAGATTCATGGGAAAGCCGCGCATTTTACGCGCGCCGCCAAAGAACGGTGGACGACCCATGCTGGTGATTTGCTTCATGCGACGCTCCTTGGAACGTTTGTTCTGGAACCAAACCTATGGCGAAGAAGAGAAAAAGAAGAAAAGCAAAAACAAGGCAATTAAAAAATGTAGCAGCAACGTATGTAAGTAGTATAAGGATGCAGGTGGTGAAGACTTAAGCCTAGAAAAGTACATTCATAAAGAGTTGGCAATTGCGATACGCATTGAAGCGTTAAAGTAACAAACACGCATCGTCACACACACGCCCGATTGGTTTGCACAAGAAAAAAAAAAAACCGGAAAAAAGGAAGCCAAAAAAGCGGCTTCTACGCTAATTTCAGTTGCATGCCTACGATTTGTTGCTTGTTCCATATGTCTGGCCAAATGGTCGTCCGCTCGGACGGTTGCTTGGCTGCCCGACGCTGTTATGAATTAGTAATGGCATATCGGGATATGGGAATCCACATTAAATTGCGCTCGCTTACAACCCCACCACTACAAAAAAAAGGCGAACATAGTGGGTCTTTTATGCTTGTGTACGTATCCTTTGTTTTGTATTTGGCATTTTGTGTTTATTTCCGCGCAACAAAGCCAACACAACGTCAGCACCAAGTGCCTTCCTACCCAGCCAGCAGCAGTCATTGAGCGCCTGCCGGACAGAGTCCAAGCAACAACAACCCAAATGCGATGCGGCCCATGTCGTCGATGGGTATTGGCACAAGAGAGACGCAAACGCGTTAGCCAAAGTCAGGCCAAGTCAAGTGTGTTGGCAGGTTTATGCGCCAACTCGCTGAACTTGGCCAACAAAAACAAAACCAACTAGCCGATAAAGTTTTAACAACAGCTAAAGCAACATATCAGCAACTAGCACTAAAGCTCTAAAACAGCAGAAGCAACAGCAATAGCAACAGCACTCAGGCAATGCCATGTTCCTTATGTTGATCCCACATCATCAACGCTTGTGAGATTATAAAATTTTATGATCTTCACAATCGGTTCGCATCGGTGCTATAAATGTATGCGTTTATCGCTGGTTTTTGTGTTTATTGTAAATTGTGGTGTTGTTGTTGTTGTGGCTGGTGGTGTTGTTACTGTTGTAGCTGTAGCTGTTGTTTCGCATTTATTGCCGGGTTTGTTGTTGCACATTTTATACGGTAGGAAATACATGGATAATTGCTCGCACTCAACATTCAACAGCCGTGCCGCCGCCATCGCCGCCATCGCCGCCACAGCCGCTATAGCTCAGCAATCGGTGAAGCCCCTGCCTACGAAGCCAGGATTTATTTTTTTTTTCGTTCCTTTTTTTTTGTATAGTTTTAGTTATGCTCTTTGCTTGCGAATATGTACTGATGGGCATAAAAATTTGACGCGCGCATTTCGTTCGCAACCAATGTCTATGAGAGCGCCTTTAACCTCGTTTTGTCAAAGCTCGATTTTCATAGGTAGCTATAGTACAGTGTGCTGGATTATACAACTAGTTGCTACAAAAATTAGCGTTTCTTTAAACTTCATTTGAAATAAGCATGTTTTTAAATTCAACGTATTCCTGCATATTTGCCGTTGAAATCCGAGATTATTGAAGTGAAAATCTATTTGCAGTAGAATAAAAAAATAAATAAAAATAAAGAAATGTTTGGCGTCTTTATTTTCTGTTAAAATTGTTGAGCATAATCGCACATTCCCACTCATTCTGACCCCCAAAGTGAAAGGGAAGCATTTTAGAATTTATCAAAAAAAAAAGAAGAACAAATCCCAAATAACCCGCTATGAAATGAGTTTTAGATCTAATCAAGTATTATTAAAAAAAATTAAAAAGGCGCTATTCAAGCGCCTGCTAAGACCAGCAGTAGAGTGCTGACAATCGCTGCGCTAAATTTTCGGCGCCAATATTATATAAAAAAAAGCAGTGGGGCCTAAAAGTATACAACATGAAAAAATAACAGATGTAGTGCGTAATCTACCAAATTTAGCAGTATGAGTAGCATTGAACTAGATGTGGCTTCCAGGCTAGGTAGAAAACCTGCTCGCAGTAGACTAACCCGCAGTCTGCTAAGGGCAGGACACTCGCAGAGCATATACTCCGCTGTCTCCTCCTGCGTTCTGCAACTCCTACATATCTTATCGTTTTTCAGAGCCAGTTTATAGGCGTGCGATGCCAGCAAGCAATGTCTAGTTAGAACACACACCAGTAACCTAGCGTCCTCCCTCTTGAGTGAAAGGAGAAACTTCGTGAGCTTCATGTCATACTCTCTGCACATAACACTGGACAACTTGCAGCCTTGCGTTTTGTTCCGCGCCTTCTGCGCCTTCCGGATCATGGACAGTTCCCGTTCCCGTTTAATCGCTTCGAAGTAAATCGGTACCTCTTCTATCAGCATGGTTTCCTACAAAGCACCCTCTTGGCTAGCCTGTCGGCGTCTTCGTTGTCGTGACGCCGGTGTGCACCGTAACCCAGTACTGATGACCTGCTCTGCACTCCGGCACACTTCTGAGGAAGTGCTGTGGGATAGTAGCGCCTTTATTGCATCCTGACTGTCTATGTAGAGATTCACCCGCTTGTTATCTGGAGTGCTGTTCAGTAGCTCCACCGCCCTCCTTATGGCTAATACCTCTGCCTGGAAAATGCTGCAATAGTTCGGCAGCTTATAAAATTTGGTGAGTCCGAGCTCCGCGCATACGATTTCCGTCCCTACGCCTTTATCCATGTTCGATCCATCCGTATACACATTTACCAAACCAGCACTCCTCATGCCCTCACACCAGCCTTCGACCTCTATTGATGACTTCGAAGTTCGTCTCAAAGTGCAGATCCGGGATCACATATTCAATCCGTCCAAGTAAAGTCGACGCTATACTACTGTGGCCGTAAGACCTACACACATGCTGACCCGTAGCATAAAGCCAGGCGACAGTTTACGACGCGATATTCTTGGCCGATAGGTCCGCCAGCAAGAGATGCAACAAGGTGTAGAGTGCCGCCGTCGGTGTAGTCCAGCCGCTAGGTAGAATTAAAGTTATGCCTAGAAAGTTGTAAGCCGGTTTGGCTTACATCGACGTCGACAACCATAATACGGCCGATTTACATATGTATATAGGTATAATGCTGACTAGCTCTTAAGACGTATTTTACTCTGCAGTAACTTTCAATATTTTTGCCTAGCAACCACCACATTTTCCTCACTTCGTAATCACTGTATGCCCATTGCTGGCTTTCGCAAACTTTTTTACTGCTAAATTAGCGATCATGTCGGCTTAGTTTCTGTTCTGTTTACTGCCGCAACCAAATTCTTATTGTTAGTCCATTTTATGTGTTATGTAGTTCAGCGCAGTCTTTAATGTCAGATTTTCGCTGTTTATATGTGGCTCTGCGTTTTTTTTTCTGATTTTTATTTCGGTCTTTTTGTTTTATTTAGCAAGCCATTCTTTTTATAATGTGCATGTGTATGTAGGTATGTATGCACAGATTTGTTGGTTAACGACAGTGCGCCAAAGCATCGACAAAATCCATATTTATGCCGCACAAATTTCATATATCAAAATTTTAGTGGCACCTTTGAAAGCAACTTGGTTGTTGTTTTTATTTGTTTGTTATTTATCTTTTACAGCTTCGCTTCGCTTAATATTTCTTTCGTACATACATACTTACATACATGCATACGTACTACGCTTCTTTGCGTTTTCATACCTGTTTTTTTTTTTGCTTGGCAGCATTTAATGTGCGCCACTGCTTGGAATTTTGAATTTTTCTCAATGAAATTTTTTTGATTTATGCATTTTTGCTTTCGAAAACTTTTCATTTGTTTGCATTTATTTTTCTTCCTGGCCAGCCATCTACTTGATGAATATGCAAAAGATTCCCGAAATGCGCTGAGAAACGACTTCTCGAAAATGCCCAACTCTAACTAACGCATTTCATTTGGGTTCGCTTAAATAGTTTCCAATGAAATTTTCGTCGTTATCCTTTATTTTCGTTTTTGATTTTGTTAATACTCGTATTTTTATTTTATTTTTTTTGTTACTAGCTCACAGACAATTTTTATTTGATCACTTTTCGTTTTTGCGGTAGTCCATATATTTTATAATATTTTTGGAGTTCATTTGAATTTTATTTTATAGAGTCGGCTGCTTTTGGCGCTTGCCAACGTTGCGTTGCAGCGATAATTGCGCGCTCCGAAGGTGCTGCCAACACTTTTATTTTCGTGGGAGAATGGCCGCATGTCTGCGTTTTTGCGGTTCGTTGGTTCGCTTTGGTCTGTCTGTTGTCAGCTGTGCTACTTCCTGCTGTGCGAAAAGGATTGATGGATATTCATTCTTTTTTTTCTGTGTGAATAATTATGTTCGCCAAGCTCAATAGCATTAACGGACTTCTATTCTAAATCATGCTTGCTTTGTGGTATTTTGGTTAAAGTTCTTTGTGCAACTCGAAACTTTGTTGGAGATTGGGGTTTGAGTGGAAAGTATTAACTTTTTTTGGATAAGTAGAACCAATCGAATTAGATTGAGATTAAAAATGTGTATACTAGATTGCATAGAACAATGTTCCAGTTGTCTTCAGATTAAAGCGTGGGTATTAGCATATTGTTTTTTTGTTCTTATCTTTCGAATTTGAATTTAGATGAATGCGCTTATGACCAATTTTTAATTTGCAGTTTTTCCCCTTTCTTCTATGAAATAGTCGTTGAATACTTCTTATCGTCCATCAGCAAAAATTTGTAATTCTCTATGTGTTTAAATGGCCAAAAAATTGTGTCTGGTTTTATCAAGTTTTTAATTGCCTTACATTTGTATGTGTTTATGTAAATTTTTTGTTTGAGCAAAAATTTATGTCCAGTTTTTAGGCGACCGTATATCCAGTTTTAAAATGATCAAAAACTTCTACCTACTTGGGAAATGGCAAAAAAATTGTAGCTACATTTTGAAACCTCCAAAATTTTATATAATTTTTTAATTGACCAAAAATGTATGTCCAGTTTTAAGGTGACCAAAAAGTTAAATCCACTTTTCAAATGACCTAAATTTTTAAATAGCAAACCATGTATATCCCATTTTCGTTAGATCCAGTTTTGAAATGACCA